CACTACTGCTGCCCTCCCTGACCCCTACCCCCGCCCATTCCCTGATTTGGAGAGGTTTTTGGCACTAACACTCTAGATTCCCAAGCCTAAAATGAGACTTTAAAATTGTAAAGTACAAAAAAAGGGAAGCACATTTCTTAGAATTCTCACTCCCTACTTCCCCAAGTAAATTTAACATATTTTAATGGTCAGATAATCTGTTTTGGGAGAAGTGGGAGTGGGGGTAAGGATAAAGGGCAGGGGAGATAGTCTTCTGCTAAGTAACATTTTTGGATCTGTGGGCTTAAGCGGGCCAGAGATGGATATTTTACCCGGAGTCAGGTCGTTAGAGGTTAGGAAGTTAATTATAAGCAAGATGCTCTTTTGTTGAGAGGTTGCTTTCCCCCACGTGTTTATATTTTTACTCACAAAATGTAAATAAAATATTGTCACCATTTTTTTTTTACTAAGCCATTGAAATTTAAAAGCATTACTGTTCTATCCAAGGAAGTTGGGAAACCATCAAATGAAAACAGGTTGAGAATCAAAAAGAAAGCCTGTTCATTATAGAGGCATTATTTGCATCACTATAGTAAAGGGGCCCATCAGCATTTCCATTATAAACTCCATTTTTCAAGGGGTTACAACACTGCTGTACAAATACACCCAGGGCTATACTTACTAAACAAAGTGTCAGCTTAGAACATATGCACAATTTCAGTCTAACAATTTTCACTGCTCTTAACAAAATGATGGTTACTAACTGCACATTGGAAACTTTTCAAAAGTGCCTTTTAAAAGTTAATTTTAAAACACAAATAATAAAATGAAGTACAAAACTCCTTGGCATCTATAATAGAGTTTGACAGAGTCCTGGGATGTTTGAAAGTGATGTGTCTCGTAAGAATAACTTAAAAACAGATGGCAACGTAATATAATATTCCCCATGTGAAGATAGTCTCCTATTTATATACCCTTCATCAAGAATCCATCCATACAAATGTCCACACACCCTACCCCTTCAATACCTCCCCAACTCCTGACAAAGCCCCCATAGGGACTCATGTTTGCTCACCTGAAATGCTATGTGCATGTTGCTACGGGGTGACCCAGGGAGCACTTTTCTGGCTTCTAGAGCTTTCCACTGAGGCAATAGTAATACCTCACACTGAATAGCATTCTAAGGTTAACAAACTGCTCTCTTTGCAAAAACTCAGTGAGGTACACAGTGAAAGTATGGTTTCCCTTATTTTACAGATGAGGAAACTTAGATTCAGACAAGTTGGTCAGTTTGTGGTCCCATACAAACAGGACCTACCTAAGGATCAAAGACTCCATCCTCATTTCCCATTCATTGCTTCCCTATGAACTTGGAGGTATTTTAAAATGATATGAGGCTCTGAGTTACTGCTAATCATAGTTTAGCTACTTTATGGGTTAAACAGGCTTTTGTGGGCTGGCCTAGAAAGTTTTCAGGTTCTCTATGGAGAAATCCATACTGAGTCCTCACCAACCTACAAATGAATTTTGGGAATAGACTCCAATTTAAGTTGGGTACTATTTGTACCTATATAAAAATTTCAAATTTCAAATAAAATATATTTACTCTCTATAGAATATTTCATCACTAGAAAGCTGACTCTTTTTTGGCCACATGGTTCTCCTGGGGGTATGGAGGAACTGTAATTTGCACTAGTAGAACGCCTCTATTAGGAGAATCAGGGATGCTTAGAGTATTGGCAAAGAGACTCGAGTGAAAAAACATTAGCCTAGGCATCCAAAGGGGTTGCTTCCAGTTTCTGTTCCATGACACCGCTGCACTTTGGGTATGCCGTTTACTGCTGTCGTGCCTGTTTCCTCACTGGTAAAATGGGAATCGTACAACTTGCCTTGCCTACATAATAGCATTATGTGAGGATCTAACAACAACAAGAACTTGCACTTAAGGTTTGCAAAGCATTTTAAAAATATTGCATGATTTAGTCCTCAGCTCACACAACCCTGAAAGGTAGGCACTAATTTTATACCCATTTTACAGATGAAGCAATGGAGATTGAGAATGATTAAGTGACTTGCCTAGGGTCACACAGCTCAGTTCTTGAGGTAGTATTTGATGGCAGGCCTTCCTGGCTCCAAGTTCAGCACTCTTACTCCCTGAGCCACCTTGCTACTAAATAATAAGTAATAAGGAAATACATGCTAGAGTAATCTGAAAATGGTCGATATCAATTACTACTATTACTAACATAGAGGTAATTGGGTGTTCTAGAAAGAGGGCTGACTTGAAGTCAAGTAATTTTTTTGTATCCCAGGTATGACAGACTTTGTGGCCTCTGGAAAATCACTAACTTTCCTAGGCCTTAGTTTCCTCATCTATAAAATGGCAATGATTAATAAAAATAACATAATAATAATACCTATTCCACAGGGACGGTGTGAAGAAAATACTTTACAAATTTTGAAGTGCAGCACAAATGAATTTACTAAACATTAACCATTATATGTAATAATAATTATTAATAATAGTAATTATAATAGTATCAAGGCATAAAGGAAACCTAACAATATGCAGGGTGAAGAAAGGCAAATTTTTAGCATCCTGTGTCCATCACAGGAGCCAATCAGATTTTTGGCAGGCCACAAAAAAGGGGTTTGGGGTTGAAGTAGGCCTAGGTTACAGGCCCAGATTACAGGCCCTAATCTAGACAATATCAGAAAGACCAGGTTAATTCTGGGCCTGACAACTAGGTTTAAGTATGCTATAGAGCAAATGCAGTCTGAGAAGGATCTGCATCTATTTAGGTGTGGAACTAAAAGTTCTTAAGAGGCTATACAATCCATCTATCATCTCTAGGAGTCATCTGGGTTATGAGTGGCCTTAAGTTTAGTGAGAAGTGAGCCCAGATATGTCTAGGTCATGATCCACACTAAAATAGGGCTTATGGGTTAGAGGAGAAAAGAAAAAGAACATGGTGAATAAGTGTTCATCTTTTTCAGTTCTGCTCTCCTTTGGCAGATGACACATATGCATAAGAGAAACACCTCATGCATTCAGCATCATAGGAGAACAAAGTGTTTTACATGAATCAATTTTTCAAAAAATGAAGATAACCTCTTTTAGCACTGAATTTTTAATAATTTTATCTGTTTTTGATTTAAATCTTTCTAAAATTTCCTTGCATAAGAAAAATTATATTTATAATAAATATAATTTAACCTTTACTTGATGAATTGAGATGGTAATTAGGAACATCAAATAGACTGTGCTTTGATGCTATCAGGGACTACTAAATTGTCTTGGGCTATTTGTCCCCACACTAAATGGCTTTGACTGCTGTGTTTATTTAGTTTGTTGTATCTGCTTTTAGGTTTTTTCTGTCTCCTACTTCACTAACATCTATTAGCTGTCATTTCTTGCTCCTCTGAATATGCCTGGCTCTAGCAAGTTCCTCAACCTTCTTGCTTACTGCTTCTAATCTACTGTGGGCCAAGAAACTAGGTAATTAATCTTATACAACAGTCTTTAAAATAAAAGTAAAGAAGCTGTAAGTGAGGGCCTATAGGGGTTTTCCCATGGCAAAAAGGAATGAGCATGACTTTGTGATATTTCCTTTGGCTGCTGTGACCTTTTTTTTTAACCTCACAATTCTGAGCTGAGAGACATAGCTGGAGACACCAAATAAGTGACCCCTGGGTGAGTAAGGTGCTGCCATTTATATTCACATACATAGACTACTCCAGTTCTGCAAGGTTGAGAAGCAACATTACCCAATACTTCCATTTTCAAATGGATTCTATTTTGTCAATTTTGTTAAAAATTAAAATGAAGAAAAGCCAAGTCTGAAATAATAAAAGTTGTATTATGAATTATACAGACACCTGTTACATATACATATAGTTAACTAAACAACTTCATGCCATCTACTAACTGTATCCATTTCTAAACACCTCATTTAAAAGCTTAAATAACCTTTGTACCAATTCCAAATATTCTCGCTTGTGGGGGCTCTATGACTGTAAATACAATTTGGCAGATTGATCATTTTGTATATACATAAGAAAACTGTCCTTGTAAGCCAAAGTTAAGATGGCAAAGTGAAGAATTCAAGTAGACATGCCATTCTTAAATCATGCTATTCAATTTTATCTATTTATTTTAGCTGAAAGCAGAAATTCAAAGTACCTACCTGTACTTCTAAGGAAATCCTTCTTTTTTTTTGTCCAGTTTGAAACAAGACAATGTTTATTTTTTTATATACTCCTTACTGGGTCATACATTATATACGTATAAATGCTTGTGTATTTTAGGTACATTTTCACTCTTTTGTTGGCAACATTTAAAAAAGAAACATATAATTTTTGTTTCACACAGCTTATTATGGCTAAATCTCCTTAATCACCCTTGGCAATCAGTATTTAATGCCAATCCAACTTCTGCTTAGGACTGAAACTTGCAGCTATAATGCATTTGGAAAAACCTTGGTATATACTTTAATCCTTTCAAATGTACCTATGACACAAGGTATTACAGACTTTTAAAAACCTGTTCTCCTGAAAAAAAAAATAATTGTGGAGCATCAGTAACCAGATAGTATTCTCAAATTTCAGTGATCTAGTCAATGGAGCCTTCCCCCATGTACTGTGCTCTGTTTCATGCAGTACATGGCTTTAGCAGGCCAAATCTTTTTTCCCCCCAATGAATCAGTAGAACAGTGAAGATCTTACTTTTTTTTTTAAAGCAGTGGCATATCAATGAGGCACAGATGTGTATTCCAACTCTGCATGGATGAGCACACTGTTCAATAGTGCTGGCTCACACGGTATCAGGGCGAGTTATCACTTCCCATGAAGGCACTCTTATCACCAGGGCCCAGAGAGGTGGCTGCAAATCGCAGCCTTTTTATTTTCAAGGCAGTTCTGCTGAACATTCAGGCTTCAAAGATTCACACTTCCAAAACTCTATAAGAGTTTGTGAACGCTCAATTTGCCAAAACTGTTTACAGTGTAATTGGGCACCGTACCTGTGTCCATGAGATAGCGGAGGCGCTTCTCCACCAGCGCGGCACGGGTGTCAATTTGCTTTTGCTCATTCTCTAGTGCTGCCAACTCTCCTACAACATACTGACTGGTGTCTTTGAACCCTTTCTGTTAACGAGAACAAACAAGAAGAAAAAAAATCTCTTGTAAGTTGCATTTTTCCTTTCCACAAACACTTAGTGAAGCACTTACCGAAAGAACCAAATATCACAATTGATACCAAAAAGTAAACTCTATCACCATTTCACCATTTTGCCAAATATTACGACTGTGGCAACTATTTTATAAAGAAAAACTTTACACTGGCATTTGTCTTTATTATCTTACATTTGGGTTTACAGAATCTTAATTTTCCTTAGTGTTGACAGAGCTTTTAAAACACAGATAAGGAACCTAAAGCACTATAATCACCTTTATACTACTTATAATAAAGCACCAGTAGTTTAATGAGTTAGTTTTGCTCAAACGTATAACATCTGGGAAGTAAGCTTGGTTAAATAATAAATTCTAAAGAAGGCAATCTACCCTGAACATAGTGGATTAAAAAAAAAACCCAGCCTTAAAAAATGTATTCATTAATGTTCATGCTACTATAGATATTCATAAATATGAGAAGAGGAAATTCTAATACTTCAAATTGTGCCAAAAGCAAGTTTTCATTCTTCAATGTAGAAATGGAACCCTGTCAACATACAGATAATTAATGTAGGTGTGCTTTCTATACTGACAGGTGGTTTCAAACACCACTACATGGTTGTTAATAGTGAGTTCGGCCAGTATACTGATTTGGTAAGTCAATGGTTTCAATAAAATTCCGTATGTCCGTTTATCTATCTTATAGCCTTTCATACTGGGAAAGCCATTATGGCAACAGGACTCTTAAAATGTCAACAATTAATCTTGCTTATAGTTCCATATTGAAGACCACTGAAATATGAAACACCAGTAGAATCCTAAATTTTATTGTGAGATTATAACTACAAAACAAACACATTTCTAACTAGCACTTGGGTAGTAGTCATTACTCCAGTCATCGTCACAGAGATAGATTAATTGTTGCTCCCTTTGGAGCACTAGTTCAGTCAGATATTCCTGGGGCTTTAACAGAGGCCTGAATAACTGCTGAGAAATATTATGTTGCTGCTGAGGTACTCCTTCCAGATAAGAAATAGCGGGGGAAAACCCTCTTCTACATCAAAGAATCCTCCCTCCAGATGAACATAGTAATCTCCAAGAAACCATGAGGAATTCTCTCCCAAGGCTCCTTAGCAGAGTTGCAAGATTGAAAAGTATGATATAGATGGGCCAGGTTTAGGGATTGTACTTATTCATTACTTAGAGATCTAACAAGAAGAAGGATATATGGAGGCTACTCCTTAGGAACTAGAAATTAATTCACATTCACATATGATCTCAATTTTCATATCAACTGATTTTTAAATCAATTAAAACAGCTGACAAATTTAAAGTTGAAATCTTTCAGATAACTGTAACATTGATGACTTCTCAGGAAAATCTGCTAAGATTAATAAGATGCTCTTTCACACTCACATAATACATGCACTCTTCCTCACTATGACAATGTGTAACTGAAAAAGCTAAACAGACTACAATGTAGAAGTTCTTAACCTGGGGTCCACAGATCCTCATGGTTTCCATGAAGTTGGATGGGGAAAAAGACACTTTTATTTTCACTAATTTCTAAATAAAATCTAGCATTTCCTAAATAAAATCTAGCATTTCCTTCAATTATGAATGCAGGTGATAAACATTATTCTAAGAAGGGATCCACAGCCTTCAGGTCCATGGCATAAAAAAGTCAAGAACTCTTCTAATGGCAGCTTCACAAAGAAATGCACAAAAATTTAAAAAAAAAATTCTAGTGAAGTTATTTTATCTACCTTGTGCTCATTTAACCACTACCAGCAATAGTTTTTCAAAAAGAGTTCCCCTTGTGCCCCCCACCTGTCAGCAACATCCAAATGGAAGAAATTGAGACACTATGCTATTTACATATGGAGTAAGAGGAAGAAAATAAGTATGGGGAGAAGAAGTGGCATACAACTCGATTTTTACTTATTATAGTTCATTTTAAAGCAGCAAAAAATTCTATTCTTGGACTGTCCTCATTTGAATGTGTAGTATACTCAAAGTGCTAACAGAAGTTAAATTAAATGGTTTGTTGGGGGTGTCTTGAGAGCTTATGTGCAGATAAATACAAACACTATGAATTTACTAAGACTTTATAGGACTTCTAAAAGATAAATACTTGAAAATATCAAGTAGCTGTTAGAACATTAATAAATCCTCAGGTTGAGACTAGAAATTTTAGGGTTCCTTCAAGGAATACAAAATCAATAACCAAGGGCATCCTGGCTTAATAAGAACAATGGTGATATTAAGACAAACTGTGGACATCAAGAAAAAAGGGCACCATCAAAGACTATGTTATACTTCCATACAAAAATTCAGGTTAAAACTTGTTCTTCCTGCTTCTGTCCTGCAGCTGTCCATCAAAAGCAGCTTTCTCCCTGCGGTCTATCAAATATTTCCCTCACAAATCAATTTTACACATGATCAGCCCATACCCCTACTGAGCTGAACCTCCCCGTTAATTAAGTGAAGAAATTACCATATATATTATATTAATGCAAACATCATTCAGCTAGTAATTCACGGCTGATCTGGATAATGGAAAGGTTGAACACCCATTAACCCAAGCCAACAAAATGGGTTGGCTGAGAAATTCTAGCAGGTCTCATGTGACTTTTCCCTCTAACTGCAGCTCTGCGGTATCTGCTATTGTAATAATTAAAATCCTCCCGGTAGATCAATACTGGAATCTCTTTATGGGAAGTGCCCTGATGGAAATGTCTCAAGGAAGCTGGGGCTGTGGAACTCTGAAAAATTCATTTTTTTTTATCTGACAATTATCACCACACTGCAGACTAATTCAACAGTGCACCCCTCTCACTCTGCTTTGAATGCACTGGAGATTGACATCTAAAAAAACCTAACATCTCATTTTAACAAATAAAGGCACTATTTCCACATACAGTTTGGAATTATCAGCAATCATGAAACCAGACAAAAAATTAATATACATTAAGCACTTCATCTTCTGATGGCTTCCTCTGAGTTTCAGTTATCGCCGTCTTCTCCTCATTTCCTCTCTTTGTATCTTCCTGTATTGATCTCTGCCTTTTCATCTCTTGAAAAAAGGGGAAAGACATGTAAAATTATCATAAAGTTTGATATTTGTGTATTGAAATGAGGACTTACACTATCAGGTTTTTAATATATTTATTGTTAAATACTATTAAATCATAGGCTAGGAAAACATTTTTAAAAAATGTTCCTACCTGGTCTGTTCTCCACATACTGACTGAATGATTGAAGTTGAGTTTTTCTGACTGTAGAATCCTTGTTGAACACAACAGGGTTTCTAAAACGTTCTGTTGCTTTTTGTAATTGCTCAGCTCGGTGATCTTCTGTCCCATTCTATCAGAAAAACAAAATGCATAGTATTAATATGGTCTAAAACAGTAAACTCACAAATTTGAAAGGTAAAGTTTTCATCACTGATTTTTCTAAATTTTCTGAATCTCAAGACTTATAGTTTTTGTGGGTGAGAGGACTAGCTACTTACTTAAAAGGGCAAAATATAAAACTTTTTGATGGTTACAAGCTTTTACGGTACAGTTATACTCTTTGAACCACTACCGTGCAAATTCTATTGCCTCAATGAACAACTTTGGGTGAAACATAGTTTAAGTAGGTATCATTATTTAAAAAAAAGAAAGCCCCCAAAACTTTGTAAACATTTGCACCCACATGATCTGTGATTATAAAGCCATGTTGACTCAAGTCTTTTCCTTCCACTATTCTGTCCAGTAAAGAATTATATCAGTTTATATAGACCCACAGACTTGTATGACAAGAATAACTAGTTTCTAATTTTATGCCCATTGAGATAAACCACTAATGCTGGATGAAGGCTAAAAGGTAGGATTATAATACTACCCCAATGAACTGCATTTCATCAGCTATAACTTTCCAAAGCCAGATTTGTAAGTAAGCCCTTTACAGCTAAGGAAACTACAATTATCTTTTCCAGAGCTTCCTATGTTAATACTGGTAACAAATTCAAATGGTTCTATCAACATGAAATATCCCAGAAGACTGAACCACTGCAATGTGTGGAAGCTGCAGATACCGAGGTGCTGTGTACCAAACAAATATTTCATTTTATACCTAATCTTTTATTATTTTTATTAAGTGTTTTGAAAGTAAATAGGGAAAGGCTAAGATGCATGACTAATAGCTAAGCCTGCTGAATGCTGAAACTGGTTATCAAAAGCTACCAAGACTTTGCCCTTCCTCTGCATTGAGACAATCAGTAATGAGGGAGTTCTCCAATGGCCTATTCTCTAGCCTCAAGGAGGCCTGGGATACAGAATCCTCAAGGGAAGGTAACAGTTTATCCTTTTCCACAAACACAGAATGCCTCATTTATAAATGTGTAAACTGCATTTTATTTAAAAAACAAATCCAACTCTGTGCAGAAAGCCCCACAAGAACTGAGGGCCAATGTATATGTCCTTTCTAAATATCATTTTTAAGGTCTAAGTTAAAAAGACCCACACAAAGGTAAGTTCTTAAGACACACCTATTGTTGGAATAAATTTTAAAAATTAAAGCAAATGAGAAAGAGAAATATAAAATTTCATAATTTTGGCCACACAGATGTCTATGTTCTATTTTTTTACAAGTTGTCCAATAAATTTATCATTTGCCGATGATCACATCTACGCTTTTTGAGTTTTACTGCTGGAGAGGAAATACTTTTGGTTTAATATATAGATATACATTTTAACGCTATTACAATAACTAATAGCCTGAACTCAAGTCTTTATCAAAATAAACAAACATGGCTAATTTTTTTAGGCCTGGCACATGCTAAAATATCAGTGTGATTAGCTAGTAAATCCCATTTTAAGAAACCTTTTTATGACTAGGGACTTCTGCCACTTTACAAATGTATTCCTCTAAACCCACTAATTCAGTTAGCCTTTTCAATCCATTGTATTATTCTTAGGCTAGCTTCATTTTGCATTAAATCCACTGCAGAAAGCTAAATTGAACGCAAAAAATCAGACTTGATCCAAGCTTCCTTTTGTTCAAAGATAGAGACTGAAAGTCCTCTGGTGCTGCCACACACTTTCATCACCAATTTATAGAAACCGACAGTATAAGGGAAAAGCAATGAAAGTCATTGTTTTGGAACTTCAAAGAATCTCTGTATCTGGGGAAGGAAATCCTTTCAGTCAGCAGAGCAGTCCCCACAGTCTGCAGGTGGGTGAAAAGTTATACAGAACTGCAAGTGCCCCAAAGCCATAAAGATATTAGTCATAAGGTAAAAGGAAGGGGAAGGAAAGCAGGGGTGGTGATAATTTAAACAGCCTAATAGTAAATAAGAGTGAAAAATGGAGAGTAGCTTAGTCTGGATAAAATGCTGTCAGTGGCAAAATCATACACCCACATATAGAGCCCATTTCTGGATCTTAATATTTCTACATACATCACCCATCTAATTATATGATAGGAATTTTATTACACTTAAATTATTGATAAATTTTACAGGTATAAAGGGTTGGGAAAACAGGAGAAAGCATGCTGGATTTCTCTTGGCCTTCTTTTCTTAGAAAATGACAAGGTTCACTTCAAGAAATTCAGAATGTTTTTTTATAGATCCTCTAATTTTACTAGAATAATCAGTTTAAAATACAGTTCCCTATAAAAGCTATAAATAAAAATATACTCATTACTATAATGAAATTCCCTTTACTGGACTTTGAACCAAACAATTTTTCTATACATCTTAATGCGAGGATTTGGTATGAAATTGTTAATCCACAACCTCCCTACAGGTCCTGAGACCAAGCCTCCCACAAATCTTACCTTCACATCTTGCTCTGAGTCGTCAGTCACAACTTTCTGAGCAGCACTGCAGAGGGAATTTGCCACCTGTGGCTGAGCTTCTAGGAGCTTCTTCATTTTCAAATCCACCACCAATTTACTGTTTTGTTCTGCTAAATATGCAAATACCACATACAACTGAGTAAATGTGCAGTCTATCAATTTTAGAATAAATCACATAAACATTACTATAATTTTAAATGAAAGGGAGATTAAGTTCTAAAATTACATAATAAGCTAGGCATATATAGCCTAATGTTCTGTATGTGAAAAGGTCTTTTCTTTCAAAACTTTATCCACAAAATAAGTCCACACGCCACCCCCCCCACCCAAGAATAGCTCAGATTTATGCAGAGTTTTAAGTTTTATAAGCTTACCTCCCAACAATGTGAGGGAAAGTCTACACACATGACTGAGAAAACTGGGGCGCTGAGAAGTTTTTGACTTGCCCAGGGTCACACAATCAGAAAAATGTCAGGAGGAGGATTTGAATCCAGGTCTCAGCTCTAACTCCAATGCTCTTTTCTCTATACTACACTGCCTTCCACATAGTTACTAAGATCAACATCAAGAACTATCTGTCTAATTATGTTAAAAGTTGGATGCCTTGGGGCACAGTGGAGATAGAGCCAGGCTAGAGTAGGAAGACTTGGGTTCAGATATCAGCGATAAACACTGACTGCGACAATGGACAGCTCACTTAAGCTCTCAGTGGTCCAAGCAGCTCTCTAAGCCTCAAAGTTTTAGAGAAAGTGCTGAGCTACCTTGGCAGAGGCAGTTTCCTCATTCAGGAACTCTCCCCAGATCAAGAAAGTCATAGGTTTGGTTCCTACTCTTATCCCATGTTACAGTTAATGGCAGTGGGTGAGAAAGTGGCATCTGAATAAATAGTACTTCCATATACATGTGAGGAAACATAGATGGGTATGTGACATGTTTGCATATATTCATAATTAAATGACCTATAAAATGAATGTTCAAAATAGCAGTCACATGTAATTTTAAATTATAGTGTTTTTGTTACCATGCAAATTCCTACCATATTTTCAATTGTCATGTACACATATATATTCCATTTTGTCAAAACACTTTGTTATAAGTTCTTAATATGATACAGTCATTCTATACGTAGTTAGAAATTATTGATACATAAGTGTATTATATATTCAGGCATATGTGTTACAGGAATTATTTTTATTTTGTCTTTGCATCTCCAGTGCCTTACACACAGTAGATGCTTAATAAATGCTTTTTGAAATGGACTGGACTAGGTTGTACTTGTACAGGATTAGGTTCGTATTTTATAATATTTAAAGATAGTAAGCTAACAGCATATGTTTATAACATCTTCTTTTATATGGTAAAGATATTCTAATATTTTGCTATATTTAATTGCATTCAGTTAAAATAAAGCATTAAGAAATACAGAAGCAACATCTGTCCAATTTTATTTAGCATCTGTTTTTATGCTTGATTATATAATTCAGTAAAAAAAAGTGGAAGACAAAATTTAACTTAAACAAACTTGCTAATTTATTGAATTTCTGGGTAATTAAAACAAATCTGATAACATAAACATTTGACAAAGGAACTTTTTAAAAGACCTATGCCTTTCCATTTAGAAGCCTCTGAATAGTGGTTACTAGTATATTCACTCAAACTGTTCAATTTATATGAGTAGGCTTCTCTTTTTTACATTATTCTACAGATTATAAGTTACTTGAGGACAGGATCTGTTTTGTTTTTTGTCTATATTTGTAGTGTTTTGCATCTGCACATCAAAAAATGTTTAATAAATGTTGAATTGGATCATGGTAGAGCAAAATGTATTATATAATATATAAAAACTATACAAAGGGATTAAAAAGGATATGGGAATAAAATAAATCAATCACGATACTCTAAGTGTATTTGATTTAAGTTACATTCACATTTCTTGTTGGCATGAAATATATTATAAGATGTGAATGAGAAAGTTTTATGTATTAATAAATCAATGCTTACTGGTAAACCTGGTCATCTGCAACTAGGTTTATTCCAAATAATTAGAAGTCATAGATATATTTCTTTTTATTGTATATGTTAAATTGGAAGAAGATATTTTAAAAAGACACAGGTCAAGGTGGTCAGGGCTAAAATTAACCAAGGTGGAAATATATTTCCCATGAAAATTCATATGATTCCAGCTAATGGTAGAAATAGAAAATTCCCTTCTCCTACCTAAGAAATGACTAGTTATTGATTAAGTAATCTATTAGAAATTTAGTTTATGAATATCACTTATTATCACTGATTTAGAATTCATCAAGTTGTGAATATTTAGTCTCAAATCCTATTCATTGCCCACTTTTATAATTATGGAACACCCAAGTAATCAAAGGCAGGTCTACAAATAAAAGTGATGCTACTGGCCCTTAATGATATCATTTTGGAGGAAAAGTGTAAAAATGAGAATGGCCAAACTACCTTTTTTCCCCCCTCCTATAAGCCCTTCTCTCAAAACCCTTATTCACATAATTTCAAAGTGGCAGTTCAGTCTTTTGTTTCAACAAATATGAAATTTTCCTTAGAGACCAACATTTTTACATTTGAATTTCCCTACTAAAAGCATACAGGAACTGTGGATGAGACCTCACATTTTCTCAAGTATGCCCTCTGTTAATCAGGAGAGCCTCTGTCAGCTGGTTTACCTGAGGGATGATGATGTTTTGCTGTTTTAATCTAGGGAGGGAGGCAGAGCATGGTACAGGTCAGCATAGGAGAGCTGAGAGTAGGGTGTGAGGGAAGGGTCTTGGAATTATCAGGGATGTAATGTAACTCCTACTGTCTGTCTTTCTTAGCTCTGAACATAAAAAAATTAAATATGAGGGAGCCCTCCTCCGTACTTTTAAATAAGGAGAGAAAGCATGAAAGCCCTTAAAACAATTGGATAACTGTTACTTACATTTGATTTTGAAGGCACCGATAACCAGATTACAAGTGTGCAAAAAACCCAAATGAGAGTTTTTACTAAAAAGATGCAGGCCAATCAGTGGCATGATTTATTTGAGTCCGTCTTGGGATAGGCCCAACATCTCTATCATTATATTACAACTAAAGAAAATCAGGAACTTTAAATGAAACCAGAAAAAAAAATAAGCCTGTGTATCACTGTCCAAGATTTTGACTTACATTTAGAACTTTGAGTAATATTAATAAATACATTTTGTGACCAGTCCTACAGAAACCTTCAGGACAAAAGGTGAGAAAGTGAATCTTAATAATGGGGGGAAAAGCAACTGCCTATTATTCTAATTTTATTTTTGACTTTAAAGTTGAACTCTAAAGTAAAAATGACAGGAACAAATTTACAAAACTGACATGCTATGGACTTTAGGCAATGATTTACAAAAGCTCTAATAAAAATGTAAAAGACATCTATTGTTATTGACGAAATAGCAGCAAAACCATATAAATACAAAGTATGCCATGCAAAAGCACAAGAAACATTTATTATTTAAAATTACCAGGAGAATCAAGGTCATTTTCTAAGTTAGTAAGTTCATCACCACCTCCCAAAACAAAGCCTTCAGCAGTGTCCTCGTTAGTATCTATCTCAATATTATCATCCTCATCTGTAGGAAGATGTATCAGTAAAGTTAGGAGAATATTATTATTTTGTCTTATTCATGCAAAATACCAGTTAAGAGTCAGTGTTTTAATAACAGTTTATCAAATTCAGGTTTGACACAGATCATTAAGTGATGAAATCAGTCAGAGATGTTACTTTTTTCACTAATGGATTAAAATTTATATTTTGAATTCATATGTCAAATATGAATTGCCACATAAAAATGTGCATATTACATAAAGTTTTTTTTTTACAACTTGCCACATTTTAAGCACATCTCTAAATCATTTTATCTCTTGGAGACAGTTCACTTTAATGTATTTATAACTGCTACTACTACTAACATTCGCAAACTGAATGGTAACAAAAATTGCCAAATATATACCTTAATTTTACAATTGCATCAAATCTTAGATTTAAGAATAAATAAGGGAGAAATACTTTAATAAAATCACAACCATGAATTATGTGAACAACAATGTGAATATTAAGTGATCTGATTCACTGTTTATTGGGGACAATGTGACTATCATAAAAGGATATGTATTAGGGATAGACTAAGAGACTATGGTGAGAACAGAATACAGAAAACACTTACATATAAAGGAAAGTTCAGAAGCAACTAAGACAGGAGACTTTGCAAGACCTAGAGTTGGGAAAAATTAATATTATTTAAAGTAACATACGCTACTGAAACGGGAAAGCTTAGTTGGCTATATTTTTGACCTTCAAATATATGGTATGCTGAAATAAATCACATTCTCTTTCATTTTTAAAATGAGCAATTTAGCTATTTTCTTTCTTTTTCATTTGCTTTGAGAATGGTCAGTTGGTAAAAGTTTGGACTCATACATTTGGTAAAGCATGGCAGAAATCTTCTTTGCAAATCTGTTACCTTGCTTTTAAGTATTCTGCCAGCTGTCACTGCCTTATAAATAGGAGTTGCTAAAATGCAAAAAACTTCCATTAGCTCAGTCAGTGCTTCAGTGTTCTCTCAAGTAAAAGGTAATCATTCTTCCTTATTAAAGACAGTATTACAGAGAATCTCAGACATTATGAAGTTTTAATGTTTCTATAACTTAATATCTCAAGGTATGTTTAAATAAATGCTTAGTATAATAGCAACAGAATGTAAAAGGCACTTTTCTACAAAGAGTTTAAAAGGCCAGTTGAAGATACACATCAATATATAATATCCTTAGAAGTAGAAAAAAAGCAAAGGGGAAGCCAGAGTAAACATATGATTTCTGAGTAGACAACATATCTTAATGCATACGACTGCAGGTATTTAAAGAAATATTAATTGGTTGTGGCATTCAATAAAGAATGGCAAAAATTAGAAGAAAGCGTAAGATGGTAAAACTAATACTGTTAGAATAAGTTCAAGATCCTGATATAAGTAAATTTGTTATCCAACCATAAATGAAAAGGAGTTGATGACAGGTTGATCTTCCACTGAAGACGCCATTGATTTAAAACAAAATCCCTAAATATATAGGTCACAGGCTTTAAACTATCTAAGTGTACCCAGAAGAAATAAGAATGAATTGGTTTCAATGCAGCCAGCAATGAAGGTAGAGAACATCAGAGATAAAAGAGCTTAAGAAGACAGTTAGGTCTTTAGAGATAGTTTCTAAAGGAGCAAGATTTGGAAAAAGAGGGAGAAAGACTAAGAAAATTGACAAAAGAAGACGGAATTAGAAGAAAGTTTTGTTTTGATTTTTAAAAAGTAAAAGTAAATCTCCCCAAATTAGACTAAAGCTTAAACTTTAGATATTAGATATCAACTAGATATCAATAAAGAGGGATTCAGATCAAATGTGGTTAACAGCCACTCAATCCATCTATTTATTTTATTCTCAATATTTCCTTCTGAAATCATCCTGCATTTCCAAACAATGAGTATTTATTGAGTACCTGCCATGGGTTCAGAATTCTTCCTCAGGTTTTACTCTACACCAGTGGCAGTTAAAACATAGTTTAAGGGATCCAAAACATCTTTCTACCACCAACCCGTGTTTTTTCTTCCTTTGACCATGCCTAGGTGAGGGTGCAATCTCGAAATGTGGTCAGATATGGATGCTTCCAGGTTCCTGCCTTGTGCAGAGGACTGCAGGCTTCATCATCTACCATATTGAACACCTTATAAGGTATGCTTGTGAGATGTTCAAACAACTATAGTGGTCAATGGCAGTTTCATTTTATTGGCTGGCTAGACGAGATCCCTATCTACACTGCTACTCCACAGTATGTTGAGAGGGCAACTCAATGTTTGTGTATGTACTGCTGACCCCAGATAAAAGGATTACTATTTGGGAGGGGGAAGAGTAAAAATTGATCCTTTATAAAGATCAGCTACTTTTAAGAATGGATTTCTCCTTTTTCCATTTAGTGCCTTAGGTTTCAGGATGAACCCTTGAATTCTTTTAAACAGTTAATGTTGCAGCATTTCTAAACACCTGTGGCAATTCTTTATGCATATTAACAGTATCCTTTATCCAACTCAAAGTTCCAGGCTACCAAAAAATATTAGATCATCTACTGAAAATCCCTCTTCTGGGTTGAACCATAGTGGGTAGAAAATTAGGTGAGTGAATAAGAAACATGAGGTAACCTGGAAGGTGCACTGCACAATAGAGCTGGCTATGCAAGTTACATGCTTTAATAAGAATAAGCTAATATACCATATTTATGCAACTATGTCAAGATTTAGGCATTAAGATAGCATAGAAATATAAATGGAATGGGGGTCCTCAATAAAGTGATCAGTAGCATAGGCTGAGGCCAGCCCTATAATACCTAATAATTACCAAAATACTTTAATGTAGAACTCAAGAATCCTAATAAGATGATAATAGTATTACTGACAGTATAACACATGGGTAATGTAGAAAGTATTGACTTGGGGTAAGGAAGAATTCCACCTCAGACATTAATTAGCTCTGTGACTACTGGAAAGTTACATAACCTTGCTGATCCTCAGTTTTTTTCATTTGTAAGATGGGGATAATAATAACACTTAAACTTACTGAGTTGATGTGAAGATCAGATCAGATAATACTTTGGGCTTTGCAAACTTTAAAACTCTATATACATGAAAGTTATTATTATTACTAAAGTAAACACTTTCTTTTTATATTTGACCTATGATTTCTGTTTAGGGACTCCTGCCTGGCAAGGAACTTATAAGGTAGATCAGCACCTTCTTTGCAGCTTTTAGCCTTGGAGAATTGCCTGGGTTACTGAGGGATTAAGTTACGTGTCTAGGGTCACACAGCCAAGTTGTGTCAGAGGTGGCACTTGAAACCAAGCCCTTTCTACTCAAAGGCCAGCTTTCTATTCACTATTCTACACTGCCTCTCACAGTAAAAGTATACTACAACAATCAAAAGGATCTGATTTTTAGAAATGAAAATGCATTCAGATCTCTAATCCAGACCCTAATTTTCTTAACAATTTAGAAAACCCCTCAACCATACAATAACTTTCCGTTTTGGGTAGAGCCACCATTACCTATGAACTCAACCCAAGTTTTAGTTACTGTGCATGACTCAATAAAAGGTGGAAAATACTAATTTTAATGTAAAATACATCATTAAAACATTTTAATAGTAAATAGAGCAAATGCTGGGGTCAGAACTTTGACAAAATTCATATAGACAAGTAGTATATTCTTTCAGAATTAGCTACAGTCAAACTATAAAGTATTAAAATTATTAATACTTTATTTGTACTTAAAATATAAATTTATACATAAAATATATAACAAGAGGTAAAGAAAATATATTTATTCATTTTAAAGTAAACAGATGAAGGACTTTCATTTTAACAGTCATACACATAACTGAAACCCAGTTTTAAAAAATCCTGTTTCAAAACCTGATCAGAAAGATTATGTAACTTTTCAAGGGTCACAGAGCTAATAAGTATCTGGGGTGGGATTCTAAACCAGGCCTTCCTAACTCCAAGTCCAATAATTCCTCCATTGTTGCATGTTAAAATTCCCTTAAAAATAAATAACCTTTTAATCTAGCTCAAAACAAAATAATGGACTCTTGGCAAAATTGTGTATGTTATAGGTACTGTCTTTGCTAGAGTCCCACCTGACTGAAAGGCACATTTGACAAAGGCACATTTAAGAAAACATGGAAGAACCTGACAAGTGCTATTGAGGCTACAACACTCAGAGGCTTCCTTGCATTTTTCCATTGGGTATGTTCATTAAAATGGAGACAAACTTTATATGTCCTTCTGCTTTTTCTTCCTAATCTCCAGCATTTGGGGAGAGTTGCTTCACCTCTTTGGATTTGTTTCCTCATCTGTAAAATGAGTGAGCTGGACTTCATAAACACTCTCTAAGGTCCCTTCTAGCTCTAACTCGAGCCTCTAAAATACTGTCACTTCATTCTGGGCCTCAGTTTCTTTAGCTACATAAAATGATAAGGTTAAACTAATTGAATTCCAAAGTCTTTTCCAGCTCTAAAATTCTAAAAGATCAATTTACAATGTGATTTTGTCCTTATCAAGGAAAGAAATAGCTGTTGTAAACTCACAAAGGCATTCCTAATGGAAAATTGGTCTGATGGCCATTAATATTTCCTGTAAGTTGCTGATACGCATAACTCTACATGTTTTAAACAATATATAATTAGTTCAAAAGAAGCAACCACAAAAGTTTTCTAGTTCAATTTCTCACAGCAAGCAAGAATCTTCTTTGTGAGGTTTTATATCAGTGGTCTAAATGGACTTCTAGTTTGTATTTCTGATAAACCATCATTATTCTGTTAGATCACTATAGAGGCAGTTCATGGTCATTGCTAAGGAATAGGGAAAAAAGATAAAGGGAGAAGACACTTCTAATTACATTATTCAGCACGTGGGGGTAGTTTCGCTTTTCACAAAGTTGGTTCCTTCACCTAATCCTGAGGAAGCCAAATCTCCCCTAGCACAGGAGTTCTTAATCAGTAACGTGTTTAAAAAAACTTTTTTTGTAACTATTTCAACATAATTGGTTTCTTTTGTAATGCTAGATCTTATTTTATGCATTTAAAAACCATAACTGAGAAGGGATTTATGATACAAAAAAGGTTAAGAACTACTGCCCTAAAAGTTCAAAGCTCATGTTCAGTGACTCCCATTCACTTATGTGGCCTGATCACAGGTAGATTTAGAGGAAAAGACAATTTAATTACATGAATTTATGTCATAATTTTAGATATATAAGTCTAACCCCCAGCCTGGGTATTTCCATTTTGAAATAACCTAAATGAATCTCAGCTTGGCAAAATTTCAGGCAGTGTAACTAAGAGAGGAAAAAGGCCTGCTTTTTGTGGTCTTCCAGCCCTCTCTGTTTTCCTAAGTTACTCTCAGCATGGCTCTTCCTAGTTTGAACTGCCCCTCCCAATGAAGGGAAAGAAGGTGAGGGCTCAGTTAATGACAGAAAATGTGATGTTTCACTCAAAGCCAAACTTGGCCACAGGACAGCATCTGCTCTATCCCGATACTCAACATCTGCTAGAGAAGTAGGTCCTAGGCAGTTGGATCCCCTTAGGTTAACTGATCTAAGATCTTCAAAGAGGCTTCTGAACAATTTCCTGCTTCATCTATTCTTTCCGCCTCATAGCTCATGCTGGGAATATTCTCCTGGTTCTCAGCTCCCATAGTTCTAATGCTGATCACCAGTTAAAGTAGCATACTTATCTAATCACAACCTTAAAAAAAATTATAGCACTGGTTGTCATTGCATTTTCACCACTGCTACTATGGCATACTGCCTTTCGGAATTTTGAAGGAAGGCTATATAGGTAGCTCAAGGCAGGAATATGTCAGAAATATAAGAGAATTTTTCTAAAAGGTGAGAATTGAGCCCACTAAAGTATATACTTTACATATAAAATGGATTATTAGTATATCAAATGAAATTACTTTATTAAATACGAATGAAAGGAAAACTTCCTGGCTGTGGAGAAATAAAACCATGTTTATGAAGCTGCAAGCAGTCCTGGTAACCTTGCTATGAAATAATGGAGAAATAGTGAAGGTATAGTAGTAAGACACCTGGAATGATAAAAGAGGTCAAAGATCTTACTTATTCAGGAGAGTTCAAGAAACTAGGTTTATAATCTTTATGAAGAAGTAAGATGAAGGTTGTAATTCACCAAGATATAAAAAATTCTGAAGGGAATAATAAGGTGACAGATATGAGATTATTTGCAGAAGGAACTTTCAGATTTAATGAAAGGTGGGGTTGGGCACTACAAGCATTTAGTTGAAATTTCTCAGCAACAGAAGCATTTAATCTATGGAATCAACTAGGAACAGCAGCAACAGAAGCAAATACTGAACCTTTTTCAAAGAATTATTCTTTGTGCCCTACAGCTTGAGCTCACTTTGAAAAAACATTTTAACCAGGTTTCAACCCCTAACTTCTCATTCTAGCCCATACTTGCCTACTCTTCAAGGTGATCCCAGCATTCTGAGATTAGCTTAAAACAAGAAGTATTTTAGCATCATTTACTAGATGAATAAGGAATATATTGATAGAAAAATACAACCCTTCTAAACATTCTCTCCCTCTTGGATCAAAAAGAAATAAAAAAAAGACAAGAAATTCCAAATCAAACATGGGCTGAAATGAACATTATCAGATAAAGTTCTCTTTAATAATTAGTATTTAAAATAATATACATTGGATTTAGTAATGATTGCAAGGCTAGATGAAAGATAGCCCTTATTCCAATAATAAGCTTAAGATAATTTTTGTAGAGTATGAAGATGGCCTCCAGAGAACAAGGAGACTAAATGAGACTAGTGTTCAGATTTTGAGTTATACTCCATATGGTTTTAGCAAATATTATTGGAAAGAATGTAACTTTTAGTAATATTTTGAATTTAGGGTTGAAATACTATAATACAAACTCTACACAAGTGATATGTATCAAAGAACTGGTTCCAATGACTACTACTCCCATATAGTAGGCTATAATGCAAAAATTTAAATGGCAAAAGATGACTTTAAGTCAGCCTTCACAAAAATATGCTACAAGTGGAAAAAAAAAGTTTTACTTTCAAAATTTACCAGTAAAAGGTCCTATGTACTCTTGTATGTTTGAAGTTTTATTTGGGTTTTATGCAGAATAATCATGTTATAATCAATATGATATCACTCTGGCCAAAACTATAAATCATAGCTCATAAATCTTGTGAACTATGATTACCAGTGTATGTTGTGCTTCTGAGAATTAAAACAGTAAAGTGGAATCTGAAAACACAAAAATCATTAATCTGATGTCCTGGTTTTTCTGATAGAAATGTCCACTTTGCATCCTTACATGCCTGCTACAAAATTTTGAGGTATGAATAAAAGTAATGGCCCAAACGGTCCAACACTGATTTTTGGGTTTTTACAGGAATATGATACAAGCTTCTTTAACTCACCTCCAGATGCCTTTGACCTTTCTTTCAACTTTTCTGCAGCTATTTCACTATAGCTGGGAAGTTCTGACATCTTCACTCCAGATCGAGCTTCTGCTATTAGCTGACGAGCTCGCTCTCTCAGCTGCCGACGTCGCTCTTCATCTTGCTGCTAAGATATATTGAACAGTTGCCAACTCAGTAATTGACAGAAATGCAATTTCATTCTCAATCTGATCATCATGATAGTAACTGGTTTACAGCATGGTGCTTGGCCCACATTATAAATAGGATGCTCCATATCAGTTAGGTGTCACACAATTTTTAAAGGCATTCTAGAATCAGATTTTTTTTTAACCATTAAAAATTACTGTATTAAAATGTTCATTTAAAGACATTTTGAGCTAGTTTTTTTTTTTTAAGTGAGTCTCTGGTAAGATATATCACTTAGAAAATGATTAGGAATTACATATAAGAAGATCTATTGCCATGTTAAATCAGTGTTCTCATAAACTGAATCACAGGTGTAGAAAAGATCCATGATGTAGAAATAGAATTAATATTTTTGTACTCTAAGGATAAGATTTAACCTGCCAGCTGTTAATAAAAGCATAAGAGTTTACAATGTTGTAGTACAGTATTATAAAAATGGACAGCTTTTATGACTCAAAATGGAGTGTCAATTGCAGCACAGGGTAGTAAAAATTCAGTTTATCAAATATACAAAATCCTTTTAAAAGTTAAGTTTCCACAAATTCAAGGTTTGTTAGTTGAGAATATAGAATCTATCAAGATTCTTGCTTTAAAAATAAAAATCACTGATTCATTTAATAAATATTTATTGATTACAAGATAGGGAGATGTAGGAGGTACAAAAATGAGTAAGGCATAGGCCCTTACCTTCAGTCAAGAGAAATCAGCAATTATTTATTGAACAACTACTAGATGCCAAGCACTGTGTTAGGATCTCATTTAATTCCTCACAGTAACTTTGTGGTATAGGTACTATAATTATAGTTGACAGATGAGGAAGTTGAGGTGGCAACAGATTAAGTGCTTGAGCTATATCTTAAAGGAAGTGGGAGGGTGGTCAGTATAAAGGAACAGAGATGGGAGACAGAGTGTCATGAGTGAAAAAGAAATGACAGTTTAGCTGGACTGTGGAATGTAGGAGGGTAAATGTATAACCTAAGTGGGGAGATAAAACAATAACACAAATAATAGGAATCTAGAGTAGAACTGTTAAGTACCAGAAAAAAGACATGAATAAAATTCTGTATTATTGTAGAAGAGGGAGAGATCTCTCCGCTAGATGGTTCAAGGAAGGCTCCAAAAATTGGATAGTATTATAACTTGGCCTTGAAAAATGCATAGGATTTTAACAGAAAAAAAATGGAGGAGAGTGGAAAGAACCCAGGTATGGAACAGCAAGTACAAAAACATGGTTGCGGTAAATTTTGGGGTGTTTGGGGGAAATATGAACTAATAAATGTACAGAGAAGTATGGAAGGGCAATAGAAGGCAAGGCTACAAATATCTGGGACCACATTTTGGCAGATATGAATCTGGGTTAAAGCACTTGAATTTTACTCAATTGTCAATGGAGAAATGATGAAGATTTTTGAGTAGAACAGTGACATAATTAATGATGCTCTGTTTTAAGAACATTAATCTGGTAGCTGTATGTAAGATGGATTCAAGGGAGAAAACTAGAGGCAATGAAGACCAGTTACGAGGTAATTGCAATAGTCTAGGTGAAAGGTACTGAGTATCTGAATGATGTAGTAGCAACGGGAAAAGAAAAGAGGGGGTGGATAGAAGCAATATTGTAGCAGTGGAATTGGTATAATCTGGTGATTGTTGTGGGGGGTAAGCAAGGAGTCAGAGATGCCCGAAGTTTAGAACTTGGGTGATTGGGAACACTAGATAAATAAGATAAATACAGAAGTTGGGAGGAAAGACTGGGTTGATGGTGTGAAGTAGATGATTTACATTTACATTATCTGAGTTTATGAATGAGATATGCTGAATCCAATGTATAAATGGCCACTGCAGCTGGGGAGAAGGTCAGGGCTAGAGAGTCAGACTGTGAATCTTTTATACAGATATGACAGTTGAAGTTTCACTAAGAGAAAGAGAAAGAGAAAGAGAAAGAAATCTAAGTGCAGAACACTGGAAAACCTTTGTTCTTGAGGGTAGAGTGGGGGATGACACCAAGAAGAATGCAAGACAGAGAGAAAGATCTGAAGAGAACCAGGATGATGTAGTGTCACAGAAACCTATTTCAAGGAGATGGCTAATAATGTCAAATACTGCAGGAGTATAAGTATTGTTATTATTATTATTATTGTTATTGCTAGTAATAGCAATGTAAGGTAAGGGGTAGAGTTCTTCACCCCAACCTCAATTAACAAGATGCCCTTCCCCTTAATATCTTTATCAGATTATACCTGAAAGAAATTTCATGAAGACTTCACAAAGGGAGAAAAGGCATCCCACCATCAGGATTCATGGTAAACTTGCTACAGGTGTTCTTAATTTTAAGGTTATTCAATACAGGGACACTACGCATGCAGGGCAAGAATGAACTCCCAGTTTGTAGGAAACATTTTGTACCAAATGTTCTTGCTATATTGCTTTAGTAAAATACCTTTTCCTAAAAGCTAACAGAGGCTACGGGCTTATAATTAATGGGAACAACACTGGTGAAGACCCATGACTGACAGTACTAGAAACCCCTACCCTCTCAAGAACAAACCCACAGACCCTCAACCCTCAAGGGTTGCCCCAAAAACCCCAAATGGAGCAACATTTAGGACTTCACCCAGTAACTGGGAGTGCCTGACTGTGGGAGTGGTCCTGAAGGTGTGCTGCCAGAGCAAGAACCAACACTCATAAGGCACATTAAGTCTGCAAAGCACTTTACCTACATGATCTCATTTGATCAGCATAATAACCCTGTGAGGTAGGCACTAGAGGGATTGTTATCCTCATTTTACAGATAAGGGGTTCTGAGAGGTTAAGTGATTTGCACATGGTCTCACAGATATAAGTACTGGAGATGAGATTCACACTCAAGTGTATCTGAACTCTTAAGTCTAATATTCTATCAACTCTGAGATACTACTGGCAGTTGGATTTGGTTGGTAGAAGGCCACTGGTGATCTTTAAGAAAAAAAGATTCAATAAGAATAGTAGAGGCAAAAGGAATACTGTAAGGAATTGAAGAGTGATGACTGGTGATAAGGGAGACAATAAATCAACAAGCATTTTTATTAAGTGCCTACTATGCTCCAGATGCTGTGTAAGATAAAGTAGTGATAGAGAGACAAAAAAAATAGTCCCTGCCAACAAGGAGTTTATGTTTTGCCAGGAGAATGAATAAACACACACACACACACACACACACACACACATACGACGAGAATATGTGAATAATTTTTGAGGGGAGTCAGTAGCAGTTGCAGGGTTCAAAGATGCTCCTCTTCTGAGGTCACTGGAATTTACTAAGTAAAGGAGTGACATGGTCAAAACTGTGCTTTAGGAATATCATTTGAGCAGCTATGTGGAGTATGGATTGCAGAAGGGAGACGCTTGAGGCAGGGGAACAATTAGGAGGATGTTGCAATAGTCCAGACAAGAGGTGATAAAGACTTGAAAGATGGGGGTGGCTGAGTGACTAGAATAGAAGGCAGAAGATAACAGATACTGTGGAGGCAGAATTGGTAAGACTTGGCAACCGACTGGATATGTGGTATGAAGTAGAGTGATGAGTCAAAGACGACTTCAAGCTTGTGAACCTGGGTGACTGGGAGAATGGTGGTGCCCCGAACAGTAATAGGGAGCTTCAGAAGAGGGATGGGTTTGAACGATAATATCAGTAGTACTGGGAAAACAACAATGCCATCCCAGTGGGAGTGAACAGCCACAGTGCAACTGGCACGAGTGTAATTTATCAGCAAACTAAAAGAAAAAAAAAGAGTAAAGAGCTGCTGGTTTTTCTGGACTGGACCCACTGCTCTGTTGTAAGGGGGAAGGGTAGGAGGGGAGACAAGAGGGCCCTTCCTCAATTATCACTCATAATGACAAGTCAGGTACTCAGAGAATGCCTCCTCTTCCCCAGAGGTTCAACTCTGAGGGTTGGGGTATCTTTTTTTAATCAGAGATTAATTCTTACATGAGTTTTGTTATATATATGCCAATCTCTTTAAGCACAATAATTGCTCCTACCAAATATCTGCACCAAACTAATGTGTAACAAAAACTCCCCAAAAACAACTCAGAGGAAGTTAGATATTCACTGAATGTAACTCATTCCTTCACATGAAGGTTATCATTGGATTTCATTATTATTTTTCATTTTATGAACAAGGTAATTATCATAGCTACAAGGCACACTAATTCAAACTATACAGATACATCAGGTGAGGGTGGTAACTGGTGCTGAAACAAGCCAAGGTTAAAGAACAAAAGTTTTCTATTCTGTTAGAGCAGAACTATGAGGATTATAGGATGTTGTACATACCACACAGCTTCTCCCAACTAGATGACTGTACTGGATGCACTGGCTGCCCAGTTTGGCTAGCCTTGCTCAGGCCTCTCTTTCCTAGGGTTCTGCTCCAGTTTGGAGCCTGCCAAGGCAGTCTTGATTATATCTTTAGCAAGTGTGGAACAGTGCAGTTTAACAGGAGGGAGGTACAACTGCTTGAAAACAGCTATGTTTTTGATGGCAACCAGTTTTTCTTTAATCCATTCAATAGCTAATGAACTTAAAGCAATAGCAGACCCACAGCCAAACATTTTGAATCAGGTGTCCACAATCTCCTTCTTTTCATCCCCTCAGAACTGTAATTTTATAATGTCACCACAAATTGGTTGCTCCCACCAATCCTATGTCAACCATTTTTGCCAAGGTGTTCTATATTTCTGGGATTCTCATAACAGTCAACTACGTTCTTGTGGTATACCTGGGTAGAGCAGAGTTTCCAGTACAAGGACAGGATTGGGGTGACCTCTTTCCCTGCCTTGGCCAAAGGGATTGTCGTTGCTGCCACTGTGTTATATCATAATGAGGCTCAGGATATCTTTCTGATACTATCAGTTTGAACCCCCATTCTGGTGTGTTCTCCCTAACAGCAATTCACCAGTTAATATTTAATATCTTCCTCTATC